CCTTCAATGTACACCAAAATATGAAGTCATCTCCAGCCGCAACCTGACTGGGGAAGGCCTTCGGAATTCATGTCACCTCCGAACAGCTGCGAAACTTCTAGTATGGAGTCACCCATGGATAGCTACCTGGAGACCAGTACTCTCGATCTGGATGACCTCCAACATCGAGCAGCTCCGACAACGTCGCCACGGTCTAGGACATCATCTTCACTCTTCAACCAACAGTCCAGCCAAGACGCCAGTTGATGGTGGGGTACCGGACGTACCTGGAATGGAGAGACGATATTTTCTTCGTGGGCCCCGGACTAAAGGTGAGGCGCGTTACATCGAGCAACTCGAGAAGAATATCCTCCCCACATGTCGTCGCCCGTACCTTCTTGGAAACTTTGTACTGCTACAGGATTGGGTGACACCACATGGAATCAAAGGGCGTTGGGAAAACTCTTGCCTACTTGGAATGGAAGGGCGTTGAGTACCTGAATAAGGTGGAATATCTAAGTAGGTAACCTGGCCTAAACCCCCTCAATTACCTGGTTCGGGAGGAGTTCAATAGGGTGGTCTATAGTGGCGGAGAAATCAACGATCTCGCTGAACTCACGCACCCACTGACGGTCGCGTGGCAGAATCTCTCGATGGCGCTCCTCCAGAAGGCTGTGGCGGAGTATCATGATAGTATTTAATATGCTCTTTAATATGGTGGTAGAAATGGCCGATAAAAATTTACTAAAGTGTAACTTATAGCGCCTCGAAAATCGAGGAAGAAAAAAGTCTTTTTTTTATGGCCCCCCCCCGTATAGGTCCATGCTAGATATGAGGATCAAGCATGTCACAATCTAAAGGTTCTGCAGTCATAAGTGCAAGAGGTTTAGAACCCATCGAAAGCAAGTGAGTAATGCAGAAACTGTCAGGGTATAGTGGCGTTTGGTGCATACAAAAAACGAATTCAGATCAATGCAAATCATCAGTCCGGTGCAGATGGCCCACTTATCGGACTAGCCTCTATCCATACAAAAATCCATCTCAACGAGCGTTGTTGAGTGTGCTTGACCAGCGCCGCTCAGAGGTGCTCGCTCCCGAGAGCTTGTACGTAATGGGACTTTCTCGAGCATGGAAGCGAAAAAATTCTTGTTTTCGCGGGAGAAATGCGGCCGGGCCATTTCTTGACACGTTACCAGGCGCCGGCTTCCGTGGAGGTTACCCACGTTTTGTACAGGTTATACTTGAATAGTAATCGCCATGGGTAGTAAATAGTCGATCGTCGAGTAGAGGAATCATGTCCTAGCAGGTTTAGACCTAAAGCGAGTTGCTCCACTTTTACCTGTACCTTTCCGCAAAAGAACTGTGAGGTAGCAATAGCAGAAATCTCGTGGCGCAGAGCAGTCCTGTGCTAGGTTCAACCCAGAGGATGGCATAGAAGTAGGGTTACCCGCGCTTTCACGCGCAACCCAAGCAGGTTGTACAAAAGATGAGCTCTGCAAAGGGAATGGGCGTGCACAGGGTACAGCATGGGGATGTGTCAAATGGCGGTGTGGGTACGACCCCCCCCCTCGAAGAGGGTCCAGATACGACCCCCCCCTCCTGCTCTAACTGACAACCAGATGCATGTTCACCCACAGCCCAATGGCTTCTGAAGGATGGAATCTGGATTCCTGAAGGCGCACCTCTGCTCCTGTACCAATAATAAAGGCGTTTCAGCCTCCATCCGCAATATGAGGCTGAACATACAGCCTCCCCGTGCATTACCTATCATTTTGTCGATGTGAGAAGTTGACAAATTGATAAACTCCTCCGTGGTCGATAACTAATTGGTGACATGCGAACTTGTAACAAGAAACCAATTGAAATACGGCTATCGGTGACGTAAACTTGAGAGGCTGAATTGGTGAAAAAAAAATGGGCCGCGTCAAAGTGAGCGTGTCGAAGGCGCTCAGATGTCTTCAGTTGAATGGTGACCGGGAAATAATGAACAACAATGCACACTTGACATGCACCGCATCGCCTGCCAAACAAAGGCGAAAACATGGAAAAAAATGCAGAGCTAAATGAAAAAGGATAACCAGGCCGGCAGTAAATCGTTCCATACTTGGCTATTATCGATCAGGCTGCAGGGCGCAAGGCTGCGACCGCTTTCTTTGGAAAAACGTCATTGGAGCGCGGTTGTTGGACTTGCCAACGTCCTGGGTCTGTTCGGGGGTTATATCTTTTTTAGGTGCGGAGCTTTTGAGGAATGGTGAGCAGCATGCAACGGCAAAGTTTCTACTATTGTGTATTCTACCTAGCTGCAAACTGAACAATCCCCCGTTGGTGAAATATTCCGGATGGGTCACGGTTCGGCCAGGGGTAAATCGCGAGCTGGTTTCCATGATTCACACAAGGACTGCTTCGTTCAAACGCAATTTCATCAGGACTGAAGTCGTCTTGAAACCCCTCCATCTTTTCTCTTTCCAATAAGCTTTACAGTTTTTCTGAAGACCCACTAGTTCAGGAGATATTTTAGATGGGTCACAGATGCGCCACCCTCTGACCCACCCGAAAAATTGACTCCTTATGTGCCATTGTGAGGATACACCTTCGGAAACTTCAGTGTGCCTTCAAAACACATATTTCCCTTCAAATGAGTGAAAGAGAAGCTCGGCTATCTCTGATCGATTTGGTCCGTGCGCCGTGCATTAGGCTCCTACGCAGAGGTGGTGGAAAGGTGTAAATTCTAAGAAGCGATTCTGATTTCAGGTGCTTTTATCCATGCAAGCAGATGTTTGTTTAGGGTTTGTAAAGGACAACACGCACGAATCTGTTTGAGACGTATTATTTAGTCATCTACGTACTTACGAGTTCATGCTATAAACTGACACTTATTTATTTATTTATTTATTCTTGCTATATTGCTAATAAATCTTTTATTATTTTGTATTCCTATTTACATCCGGGTCTTCTGAAGCTTTCCGTCCGTTCCATTACCCTTAGCAATGACACCTTTGTACTGTTTGATGCCTAGCGAGCCTACTTTTGCGATACTCCCCACGTCCCCCGCGGCCAAGTACGAACCCATTCTGGGGATTTCCCATGAAAAGAGGGCTGTTAAACGTAGCATTTAAAGCTGTAAAGAATACACTCATAATAAACTTCATTTTTTAAACATCTTGACTTCCATAGCTCCACTCCCACTATCAACTGAAATGTCGAACCATTGCTCGGCTCTGAGTGACCCTTGAGATTACGACCCCCCCCCCTCTCCATCGGCCAGGTACGACCCCCCCCATGGGTTTGGCACAACGATGCTGTCGCCTGTGGGCGTGACGGACTGCGTGGTTTTGGAGCAGGGCAGACATGGCAGAGTCGCCAACGCAAAATACGGCGAGCTCAGATGGCATCAATTGGTTTGCAAAAAAGACAGCGCCCTGACCTGGCGCTTCCCATCCTCGCAGCGTCTCACCCTAATCGTTTGCTGACCCTGCATGTCATAGGTATCGTGAAAGCTAGATAGTATTTCCTACCACACTTCTGCGTCAGATGACATCATGGCCGCTTGCGTCCCATACTGTTTACTTGAACAGTTTTACCTTAGTGCAAGCTACCATGAACTGATAACCCCATTCGCGTCCCTTCCGATTCGCACAGTTGGGGAGGAGAGCAGGAAATGCGGTCCAGTTCAGAGGGCTGCATTGAGCAGTGGTGCCACACAGCCAGCATTTGAAACTTGACCAGGCCGCTGGATCAGGCTTTTTGGCTGTCATATGAAAAAAGCGTTTATTTAGTTTCAAATTATTCGAGAATTTCGTTTAAGTAGTTTTGAATTTTTCGATTGCTTTTTTCCAACTGCTCCGGATCTACCGTACATTGAGTGGGTGTCAGTGACGTGCTGCTCGGAGAAAGTTTCCCTAGAGAAAGTCGCATCGAACGTGTAAGCTTTTACATAAGTGGGAGCACTTGTCCGCCGTTTAATCCGCCTGTGATGGGATGTGCTGGGGTTTTATCGTTCCACTTGACGATCGGCGATTTTTTTCTTCCGGCTCTCGGTATCTCAAGGGTTGCTCCGAAAAGGTCGTCACTAGAGCAAATGAACGCTTCCCGGCAAAGAAACGCTGCTCAGAACTTTTCATTTGGCGTGTACTGAACAAAATGGTCACCAAACGATCAGCGATGAATAATCAAGAGGACTAATCGCGTAATCGAGTGTAAAGAGGCGCTATGCATTCCACTTCCACTCGGGATCGCACTGGCTCTTTGAGTACAGATTCCTCTACACAACTGGTTACTCTAATAACTTACAAACACGAAGGAGAGGCATATCCAAGTGCTTAGGTTCCATTTGGGGAACAGACATTAAACCATCTCATTAACCGCTCCCTTCCTCCCCTTGGATATCTATCGAGAATAAAGCTTTAGCCGTTAATCAGTGCTTCCTGGGATGCGGCACGCATTCTACTTCCATTCAGAATCGTAGTGGCTTATTGAATGCGATGTGGCCTATACAATGCTGGGGGCCAGCCGATGTACAAGTCAGTGTTTTATCCTTCCAGACGAATCCGGTACCGCACCAAGTTACCACCCACTAGGAAAGAACAGGTTCGGTTGGTCCGGGCGGGAGACGGAATTTGACGACCGGATCGCGGACCACACCACCTCCGCCTCCTGTATAGGAGTAATCCATATACTATTATGTAGCGTCAGTGCCTAATTCACCAATTCACTGCTGAAGTGTAAAGGGTATATAAGACAGGGCGAAGTATATAAGACAGGGCGAAAGCGAAAGGAATAAAAAATTATTTTTTCCGAAAAATTTCCCAAAAACTCAACGAAAACGCTGGAATGCAAAGAATCAGATTTTATGAAGATGCTGACTTGTTGGAGATTCTAACCTCAAGCCGGCTCGAACTTACACCTCGCGCTCATCGGGACTATGTGCTAGTCACCAAGACCGTCTCCCATTCTCACCTTGCAACTAGATTATTTTATGATGTCTCAGTGGACTCAACAACAGGTCGGCCGCACAGTTCTTGATGTGCCACAACAAAATCGGTACAGGACCGTATAGGATACCAAGATGGTACGTTTCAGAAAATCTTTGTTTTATCCCATTAGAAACAGTTCATGCTGTTAGGTACTACAACCTGCACGAGGACGTTGTGAGTTGTTCTATTGGTCGGGTTGTTGTGGAAATGGAAACAACTTCCAAACATTCCAAAGTTGTCAATCAACTTGTGAAGGTACGTGTTTTGCGTACAATTTATTTAGTTTATTTTGCGTTGCGATTGATATTCAATTGATTAATTTATTAGCAGAAGAGTTCGCATTGTTTTTAGTTTGTATTTCTGTGTTAACTATTAGGTTTGTCGGAAGTCTTAGCGTTTTTGTGCACCTATTTTTTGTACATTCACTGTTTTAAAAACTCTTTCTGCCTTGCTTCTCAGTAGCCAATCCTGTAGAGAATTTCTTGCGCTATCTGATGGTATAATTGCCGTTTCACCATTGCTTATTGAACTCCCTTTTTTCAAGATTTTTTCAAACATGTGAAAAGAGCACTTCGGACGATTTTTTTTCTTCGACTATAATTGGGCAATCCGCAACCGAAACAGCTCAGCAAATTAACCAGGTGTGGGGCCCAATAGTGCTTGAGAAAGCACTGTGCTGCAATGGCTCAACAAAGTTCGTTCAGGAGATTTCAGCATTGAAGATGAACCTCATGGCAGTCGACCTAAAGCAATATCTGACGAGGATTTTGAGGAGATTTTGAAGGCTGACCCATCCCAAACAGTTCGAGAGATTGCAGAAAAGCTAGGCGTTGGCAAATCCAGTGTTGTAGATTGTTTGAAACGCATTGGGAAGGTGAAAAAACCCGACAATTAGGTGCCCCACAATCGGAGTGACCGGCAGGAATCGGCACGTCTCGAGGTTCCTTCTTCACTGCTTTTGCGCAAAAGAATTGACCCGTTTTTGAACGGATTTGTCACCTGTGATGAAAAATGGATCATGTATGATAACAGGAGACGTTCCGGACAGTGGTTGGATTTGGAGGAACCACCGAGGTAATTTTCAAAGCCGAACCCTCACGAAAAAAAATTCTGGTCAGGTTTGGTGGTCATCGGCTGTTGTAATCCACTATAACTTTTTATCACCAGGCCAAACCATCACAGCAGAACCCTACTGTGAAGGAAATCGACGAAATGTACCGAAAATTTTGTCAGCTGCAGCACACTTATCAAAAGAAAGGGTCCGATTCTTTTGCATGACAACGCCCGCCCACACGTTTCACAAATCACTATCCATAAATTGAACGAATTGGGAGTTGAAGTTCTACCTCACCCACCATATTCTCCAGACCTTTCACCAACCGACTGTCACCTTTTCAGACATTTTCAGAACTTCCTTGCTGAAAAATACTTCTTCAATTAAGACCAGGCAAAAAAGACCTTCGTAGATTTCGTGGATTCTCGACCACCCAGTTTTTCCTTTTATGGGATTTCTCGACTGCTGTCACATTGGCAAAAGTGTGCTGATTCGAATGGTGCCTATTTCGATTAAATCCGATGAGTATTAAGAAAGTTACGATCGCTTAAAGTGAAACACCCAAAACGCTAAGAACTTTCCGGACAACCTAATAATAATGGAGTTGCAGCTTATGTTTTATGTTTTTTTTGTATTTGATGTGATTATTGCTGATGCTTAGGCTCGAAAAGCACTCTGAGTTGGTTTCGTCCTCATACCCCTTGCAGAACACGTGGAACTCAATGTAGTAGCAACCGTACCTGTATTCTTATCCCTGAGACGGAATAGGCGTGGCTTTTGAACATGGCATAAAATGGGCTTGTCGCGGGATATCTCCATTTGAGGCAACTCTCATCTTGTTGTGTGTTGGACAAGAGATGATTAAAACTGTCTCAGAATGAAAATATCTAACGAAAACCTCAGCGCCGGCGCCATGTTCAATTCAGCACGCCAGCCACGCCGACGACTCGGGGTTTTTACTACAGCCATTGACGGCTAGAACCTCGAAAGATCAATTATCGATTCATTTTAAAATGGGCCACGCATTCAGTTCCACTCAAAATTGTGCTATTACAAGGAACAGCATCCAAATGGCATGGGAATATGACTTACTGGAATCAATCGTTTGATGCCTACGTTGTTTTGAGAGCGCTGTCGAAACCAAGGGGAGGTCCCGGAGCGCTCATGTTCATTTGCCACCACAATCTAACAATTCTCCTGTCTAAGAAGCAAATATCTGAAGGGGATAAAAAAAAAGACTTTTGTCATAGGCTACGCTCCCTACAACTTATTTTATCTGTCGGAACAGACCTTAGATATCGTTTTGCTCAGTGAAGGAAGTAAGTCTGAACACGCTCTGAGCTTCCTTGCCCGCAGGGCTAGAGCTTATGACTTGTTCTGGAATCATACAGCCAGCGCACTGCGAGCCTTTGGACTTATGGACTCTCGACGAGTAGCGCCTTTCTTTTTTGTGTCATGAGAACAAAATATGAACGAGAGCAACTTTTGGTGTGAACTGCAGAATATAGGGTGATCTCTCCGCCGACAGAGCGAGACGTCTCTACTGATCCGCACTGCGAACAGTTTTCAACTGAGGTATGTGGCAAGAGAATCGTCCCCCGACAGTGGGCGTCGCGCCGCCTAATGACGACGATTTGGGTGGTCAGAATAAACAATGTATGACCGGAAAATAACATAAGTGTCATGTAATGTCGTGATCTACATGAAATCGATGCTAAATGTGGGATCGTGGAGCGTTGCTGCGCGCGACGAAAGCAAGTTACGATCTATTGCCACGCTCCAACTGTAACCCTAGGAATTACGCATCTACCTCGGGCTGACGCCAACACTTGGCCTTCTTGAGATCAAGGGCGGAAGATGAATGCCCTTGTCTTGCCGCGACGGTAGCGGATAGCCGGTTGGCTTACTCGTTCTCAGGAACCAATATCTCAGAGAAATTTTGACACGGCTCCTCGGGTTTTCATGTACCTCATGTGCCACCAAAATATCAACTCCATCAAAACGCCGTTTCTCGGAAATGCCAGCGACCGGTGCTAGAACACAGACTCTCCCAGAGCGCCGCTTCGCTCAAAACGCTGATCCTCTCAGAATGTCAATTCTCTTGGAGCGCAGGTTCTCGTAAAGCACTGACTCGCAAAGTGTGAAGGCCGCATGGGACATAAAGTTCGATGGTGCGTGTCATTACGAAAATGCCTTTCTTGCCCTACTACCTCCCCAAAATAGCAAATCATTGGCCAAGCCCCATAAAGAGGTTGAGTAAAAATTTTAGGGTCTCAATTTTTCTTCTTCTTGTTCAGAGCAAAGTTCAGACATTTTCTCCCGAACACAGCGCTGACTGTTCAGCTGTGTCAGCTGTCTGAAGCCGCTTTCAATCGGCTACGGCAATCTTCTGATCCCCGATACTACTTCGACGCTCTGTCACAACAGTGTCGGCTGTTTCTGTACCATGGAATGGGTGGTTTTGGCAAAGTGTACGAATCAGAGCAAGAATGTCTGGCACAGTGCCGACGGGGACTTACAGGTGCAGCTCTCTGGCTTCTTCGCACTCCTTCACGACACACGGCACGCGGATATTGCCCCTGCTTCACACTACTCGGCTTTGTGGGCTTTGTAGGCCGATATAACGCACGCTTCTCAGCCGATATTGGATCTATCGAATCACTTTTTGAGGGGTGCCAAAGAAGCTTTGTGTCCCATACGGGAATGATTCCAACACTGCTGTCGGGACCTGCACCAAGCGGTACCAAAAGAACGCCGAATGGAAAAGGTAAAATTACCAGACATAGGGAAAACGGACCGAACAATGTCACCACAGTTGAAAAAATGCTTTTCAAATACACGCTTATTCAAAGCAATATATCTGCCTAACTAATCTGGGCGTCGGTCTGGCCTCCACGCTGTTTGCGACGCGCACAAGGCAATATTTCCTACTGAATTTGCTCATAGTAAGTACTCCTTCCTTGAGGTGGCTGTTTGCGAAAACCGCGTACGTGACGTTATTCGTTACACCGCTTTCGCCGCGCCGCCGCGGAGTGGATCTCCCGACCGAAACTCAACTGATTTGCCTCATGTTTGCAGCAACTAATCACATTTTCAACCCAGGGGATTTCAGTGGATCCGTGCACGTTGGACAAGGAACCCGGCGTCGGTTCGGTCCAGCTAGTTCGTTTCTATTTCAACAGACAGCTCAAACTTTGCGAAGAGTTCGTCTACTTCGGTGCCGGTGGCAATCGCAACAACTTCCTCACCGTGGAAGAATGCCAAGCGCAGTGTCCAGGTGGAGAATTGCATGAGTTCTAGGGAAGGTCTTCTGGGCAACTGTCTGATCTTCTCGCTCTATAGGCTGTCGGAGAAGTTTCTGCTTTTTCCTGGACCTACGGAACCTCTACTCCAAGCTGTCTGTGCCGGTCTCTCGTGCTGTTTCTAACCACTTCTCCTCTTCTGGTACCTAACTAACCACTAACATTGGTATTTTCTAATGCTTTTTCCAACTAACCTTTTCATTAGGTCCTTAGGGCCGTAGACTTTCAAATCCTTTCCAACGTGGTGAAGGGTCAGTCTCAGAGATCCATGATCAGCTGATTTTTGACAAGCATGCTGATGTTTTAGAATCGCCAAATCCTTGTGCAGTAACCGTGAGCATACCGGGAGGACAGTGTACTCCCGGTGTGACCTCCTGTGGAGGTGGCAGCTTCTGCCACGTTGGCGCCACAGCACAAACCACCACCTGCTGCCCAAAACCAGGTAACTATCGAACGTTTGAAGTTTGTATTTTGGCTGGAGGAACTGATTTCAGCTCCTATTGATCGATGTCAACAGCCTTTGAATGTCGGCATTGGAAATGCTAATTTGCAACGGTAAGCGCTTATGATAATTCACCTACATAAAGAAGAACAAAAAGTGGTCAAAGGTGTATCGTACGGAACCCCGCTGGACCGCGCTTTCTCATGCATAACACGAAGGAAGGGCGGGGTCGAACGAGTTCTCATTTGGGTGCCAGCTCATTCTCCTCGTCGCCTCATCCTCTCCATTCGAGATGGAGAGAGCTAGTAGAGGAAAAAACGCACCAGAGGATACCTTTAAAGATGAAAGCTTACCGTTGCCATGGTCAGTGGGTGGGACTATGGCTACGTCACGAGTGGGTCCTGCTCCCTTCACGCATTTTCGAGCTGCGAAAGTAGTACAACCTCCTTGAGAACAGGACTACCATGTCCAAAGAAGGCCTACGAATGTTAAATGAGCAATGATGTCTTAAAGGCAGTGCCCGATCAGCTGACATCTTCCTCTAACTTAGTGAGCAGGAAGACAGGCTCGCATAGCCAGCGATCGCACCATTTTTGCGGCGCAAAAGGGAGCAAGGAGGCCGTCTTCCCTCATTGGCCCGGCCCGTTTTCATTGACCACGCCCTGCCGCTCTACTTTTCATAATGATAGAAGACCTGCTAAAGAACATTGGCAAGGACATTACTGGCAGTAGGAAATCAGCTGTCATCAATGGTGGCGACCCGATCGACCGCAACACCACTCGCTCGGTTATCTCGTCCGATCACCCGCTTTGCTCTCTCTCCGCTCATACAGGGGCGCTCGCTAGGGGTTTTATTAGAGTACAGGGCTATATTCGACCACTTTTTCTTGTTTTTCTCTCCACCTGTTGACATCTTGACATCGCTAGCTGTGCACCACTGCCCGGAATATCACGGGCTTCGCCTTCAAACCGAAATAACCAGAGGCGAGGCCAAACTATGTAGCAATTACACCCCACGTATGCACGAGGCCACTTCTAACCAACTGATAGCAATTCTAAGTATCATCGAACATTATTCGCTGACATTTAGATGGTACTTCAATCCACTCACTCAGCAATGTCAACAATGCGTCTATCGTGGTCTACAGGGCAATGAGAACAACTTCCTGACCAAGCAGGAATGCGAAAACTCATGTCTCGGTTAGTTCACATTTAGCCTTCGAGATGTCCACTTAATCATGTGAGTTTCAAACGAGTTTTCTACAAATACTGGATCGCGAAATGAGATGAAAAAATATTGCAGCCTGTTAGACAAAGTAGTTGTGAAGGCGCTGTCCACGCCCCTTTGTGTGCGGAGTCGGGCCTATAATTACGCGAGGGAATATCAAACGGCTGTAAAGTATAAACAACCTACCTTCTTTCCCTTATTTTCTGTTAGCTCCTCTCTTATAAGTGCAGGGACGACAGTGAAGAAGGGCAAAATGGTGGACCTGACTCCGCCCATAAAATGATCGTAGACTGAGGACGTCATAATGGAAAATCAGGATGTCGCTTGCCATTTCGCTCACCTAAAGCTACAAGGAAGTCACAGCAAGGACTCCAGACCTGCAGAAATGATGATTATTGCTGCATCTCAGATCGAACGATCGAAAGGTTTTCGTTCTCTATCATGGACCCGAAATCGTGATATGAGAAATTTCTGCTTTCCTTTTCTTTAGTCACCTGATAACCTTGACTAAATATTTGAACAAATGAAGCTCCAAATGAATAAGTAAATGTTGACTGTTGACTTGCCTTCATGAAAATAGTGAACTTTAGAAAATTGATTGAATTCTAGTGAACGCGTGCAAAATCGGATCACCATACCGTTCACAGGGAGTGATCGTTCAGTGCTCTGCCACAAACCCTACCGTATGTCCGGCTGGCCATTACTGCCATGTCGGAGCAGACACAACAACTTCTGTTTGCTGTCAAGCCATTGGTTAGTCTTTCAAGTACAATAGAATAGAGCAGTGGAATTGCTCTGCAAAGGTTTTCATGTATAAACATTATTAGGAGAATTACTTTTATCATTCATAAAAGTTTTATCGATCGAAGACATGTCCACGTTTACCCCGGTTCTCTGGTTACGGTACACAGTTTCACAATTTTTCTCATCTCAGTTTTTCCTGCATGCTTCCTCTTCTTCAAATAACACGTCCTCTTGCATGATCCATGTCATTGGTGGAAGGAAAT